TTTCACCATAAGATAAATGTTATTTTGAACACAAATTACAAGAATATAATAAAAATATTATAAAAATAATTCTAAGTTTTATTCTCTATTAAAGAAAATATTGATTTTTTTGGAAATTTTCTTATTAGTATCATTGTCATTATAAATCTACTTATTAGTTAATTTTTAATGTGAATTACGTAATCCAACTTAAGCGCCAAATTTATTACAATAATTTAATTTTAAATAATAATGAGTTAATAAAAACAAACTATCTTTTTATTATAAATGTGCTTCAATTACATTTAATATGAAATTTGAGGTGAAAACTGAAAGTTCAAAAAATAAAAGCCTATTTAATTATAAAATATGGTGCCATTTACCTAAATTTATAGCTATTTTAAATAATTTATATTATATCCATTGGATTTATATGGATTTAAAATATAAATTAGTTATTTGAGTTTAATATTATTCTTATTTTTTTAATATGAAGTTATAAATAAAATATTTATAAAGTCAAAACACTATTAATTTATTTGTTGTTAGTCTAACTAAAATTATAATTCAAGAATATATTCTTTTAAAAATAAACTCATCCTAATTTGTAAGTAAAATATTGATTTAAATTTCTATTTATAAAATATATCTTATAAATTAAATAACACTACACTTTTCTGATACATTGTATAGTAGAGTACTAGTTTACTTAAGTACTGTACCACTTTTCTATTATAGTATACTGTACAATAATTCCATAGTATGCTGAGTATCGATAAAATAAATGATACAGTATTTCCACCCAAATTTCCAACTTATTAAAGATTCAAATATTTATTATAATCTCCACTTCTCCCCATTTATAAATTATTAATTGCATGGAATTTATTATTGAAATAAACCGCAATAATATTATATATATAGTTGTGAACAAAATTAATGTACATTTTTAGAGATAATGAAGACTAAGGTCTTATTATATCATACTTTACACAAAAGAAAATCTCATTTTTGGTTCACTGAAAGTTTTTTACTAAACTATGATTTATTAGTTTCTAAAGTCGGGAAAAATAGTAAAACCGATACAGAGTTTTACAATTTGTTGTCAAATGAGTGCTTTTGTGAGAGACTATCAAATCTATAATCGTTATGAAATATACAGTTTTGGCGACATATCAGTGAATCAAGTGATCCATTGAGTGATCTCTCAAAATATAACTCATATATATGTGGAGACCATAAAGAACTGGATATTATTTCTTAATAAATATGAAGAACTAAAATGGAAATCCATCCGAAGATATAATGACCGCCAATTTGTCGGCCAAAGTATTTGTCACTCACTCCTACCATACCATACCTTTTAGTCATCTAAAAAAATTATCGACATTTTCCTCATTTTTCATACAAAATCAGTTCATTTTTCTAGTTTTACTAAACTATAAATTCTTATTCAACACAAAAATGATAGGAAACGACAAAACTCCAGACCATAAGTCATACATAAAAGCTTTTTCCAAACGTTATGTTTTTGGGAATAATAACCACAAAATTGTTGATATAAGCCATTCGAGTGAATATGAAATAATTGTGTTTCTAATAATATAATATAAAATATTACTTGGATATTTTTATGTAGAAGCATCAAAATAAATCTAATATGCAATCTAATCCTCAAATGAATTAATTAAAAGTTTGTCATTTATATACTAAGCCTTGTTATTAAAATGTCTCAAATGTGACGAGAAACCCAATGTTATGAAACCATCACTAATTCACAAATCAATATTCAGTATTATTAAACTCTATAAAACTTTAATTATAATTTAAAAACATTTTTTTGGTCGTAAAGTTTTGAAGTTATGTGTATAATATGAGTTCCCCTTTGAGATTATAATCACTATAAAACACAATTTTGGGTTAATTTAAGTTTGATTCAATGCACTCAAAGCTATAATAAGTTAGTACAGTTATTTTATTATTAAAAATCCATTTTGGATTTCAAAATATATATTTCACAGAAAATGCAAGACTTTATTATGAAATTTTAATGTTATAAATAGATATGAATTTAACTTTAGGTTTGTTCAATCAATCATTAATTTTCAGTGGGATTTACAATAAAAGCCCTTTTATTATAGAAAGTAATTTGAATGCCGAAAACAAATTTTAAACTTTTATAATACCATTTCATTATACCGTAACTCTATGCATGTAATCTAGATTTTAATACATGTAAAGTCATACCGAAATCCACTTTCAAATTAAGTATGAAATATATTTTTTCGTCCGCACATTAAATTTTGTTTTTCTTATTTTTGTTTTCGTTTTGTTATGATATCGCAATATATTATATAACTTGTAAAACAAACAAAACACGAAACAATTCAGTAATTGCTTTCAAACATAACTTTTCTAATATATTATGTATTCTATTCAATGACTACTGATTTCTATTGATAACACGATAATCATATATACTTTTTAATCAATTAATGCATTCTCGGCTCTAAAAGATCATTAAAATTGTGAATATAAACAAAAATGCTATTCATAAACAGTATAATGATAATAATAATAGAATTATGAATTAAACAAAATAATTCTGTGTAATTAATATTCATTTTTAAAATAATGATAAATTATATGCATTGCATATGTAGAGTTATGTTTAACGGGAAATTTTTGGAAAATTTTAATCATTAATAATTATAACTTATAAATCCATTAAATAAATTATACAAATTATTTGGTATAATATTGGCATAGGTAATACTGTATAATTAGAACATTGGTTGAATTTTGTAAACTACCATATTCATAAAAATAATTATTAAAAATTTTATTAACTTTATATTAATATTAAATTATAAAACTTAGGAAATATGTTTCCAAAAACAATAATCTTTTGCTAAAGTGTAATAAAATTATTCTTAAGGTTTTTGTCTTAATTTTTATTTTATAGAAAACAACTTTTCAATTAGATTTGTCTGAACATAAAATCTAATTACATATCATATTAAATACTGTATGATTTTTTGTTTTTATTAAAGTAAAGTTAACTATAAATATAATCTAATAAGCTTTTATTCAGAATGCTATTCACTATTAAACAATTCTTAAGAATGTTTTGTTTAATTAAAAATTACATTTAAATTTCTTATTAAATTAAAACCATTTGACATTTGAATTCATCATTTAAAACAGTATTGATTTTGCTAAATATAAAAATTGCGTAAATATTTACATAACTTTATTATAGTATTGCTTCGCTTTAAAGCCTAATAACTTATTTTGTGAGCCAATAATTGTATGGGTCTCTCAAATTAATATTCATAAAAATGTCGTTTTAGTGCAAACGATAAATATCTAAAGATTTCTTTGAATATAAGAAGTGAATACTAAAATTAATTAATGGCAATATATACATGATTTAATATTCATAGTGAATAAAATCATAAATTTGATCATAATTCAAACATGACTTTAGTCTTAATAAAATCTTTATTATGTATCTTATTTATCGTAATAGTGATTTTTAAACATTTACTTCATACGATTTTATTTGAAATTTTATATTATTAGATGCGAGTGAGAAAATTAATGCCCTTTTGTGTGAAATTCAGTTCAATACTGATATCAAAACCCAATGTAAGCCTTATATTCCTCGCAATCAATACAACATTTTTATTGAAGAAAATAAAACTTTATTTCTTTTTATCTCTTATTCACAAAGTGTAATGCAATTCGTTTTTGTGTCAATTCAATGGAGATTTTTAATACAATTTTGTCGACAGATTTACACTTTAAATAAATTCATTGAGCGCTTCCCAAAAACAAATCCACTTTTCTATTATACGCTATTTATCTTACTTTTATAAATATTTTCAATAAAAACAGTTTATTCTTGTCTATATACAATGAATCGTGGTAATTCTTATTTAATTAATTCATTTAACACATAATTAGAGTTAATGATTATTTACTCGTGTCTTATCTCATGTATTGTGAAGTCAAACAATGCTTTAATTTTATGGATTAATGTCTTGTAATCGCGGACTTTATTATAAATGAATTTATGTAACAAATAATTGTCACTTTTCTCTCAAAACCATGGCTTTTATATATGGTATTAAATACTGATATAATGTGTTGAATAATACAATTACTGACATTCACTTTCTCGTTGACAATACATTCAATGAGACACAAAGTGTTTGAAATGATTGCACAATATTATCGCGAAAACCATCGAAAATCAAGTCAAACCATGCCTTTGATGGATGTGTTGTGAATTAATTAAATTATAATGAATCGAAAACTTTTGTGGAGACCCTGATAATAAATTATCAAAAAAAAACTTAATATATATTTAATGCAATATTTATAACATTTTACCAAACATAATTTGAACACAAACTATTTTTGGTAAGAGATATCGAAAATACTGGATATCTATTTGGTATTGATTTTGTCTCTTCATAAGTATTGTTCAAATCTATTCGTTTTGATTTGATTTGAAGTGAGTTTCATATAAGTTTCATACAATCATATTTTTATATATTAAGTGAGATTGTATTTATAAATATATAGTCCTATTCTATATCTATAGTACACTTCAATTGATATGTGATTCGAGATATTTAACTAAAATAACTTTTGCGTAAAATTTGTGATTTGCAAAACAATATCTTATATGTCTGTCTGACATATATATTCTGATTTACTGTCCAATGAATAAATATGATTCCCTTTCCTACCATTAGATTCAATGATCCAAATCTGCATTTTATTCGTTCAAACCAATTGTGAATGTATTGCATAGACAGCCAACTATCATATTTAAGGATATCAACTGAGAGTGAGGTTTGAATTTATTATCCTAACAAATATCAGTGAAATATATCTCTAAACTTAATATAGTTATTAAAAGTTAACAATTGTTACTATTTAAATGAAACAAAATTGCACACAATTACATAGCACATTTCAATCAATATTTAATTTACAACACCGGTAATCTATGATACGTGTGTCTATTTTAGAAACATACTGTTAAATATAATAAATGAAAAATCTGCTAAATAAATAAAAACCTTAAACAAAATTAGTTATTTAAATTTAATGCTTTGATAATTTTCATTTCTTTGCAAAAAAAATCGAGTCTTAAATAAAAAGGTTATTCAAAAGAAATATTCATAAATTGAGGCCTATTTCACATAAAAATAAACATGAATTTCATTTTAAAGGATTAAATTACTCGAGAATTTATAAGATTTCTACAGAAAACGATTTCATTGAATGTGTGTTTTATAGTGTATTCATAGGATATTTCTCTAAAATATTCGCACATTTGAAACATTTAAATAAATAAATATATTCCACGAAAACCATATCAATCCATGTGATCACGAAAAATATATCTAATTTATAGGCCATATATAACAGAAATGGAAAACCTTTTTATTGATTACTTAAAAATAAATTTTTAAGTAAAATTTAAGAAAAATGAAATTTTATTTGATTCCCCAAATTAATTTTTAATATAAATTCGTTCTCCAAAAACTAGATTGAAAGTGAGTTTTGATTTTATTTTTGCTTTTTAATATAAATAAATAAACGACTCACTGAAAGAAAATTAAACTACAAATGATTGTATTATGGCAATATTGACAATATTAAAAAGTTAGTCATCAATCACACATTTGGTCTCATTTGCAAACAAAGTGTTTATATATTTCAAGTGTTTGTGACATTATATGACAATCAAGGCAAAAAAGCATCTTATTTTTCTCGATTCAGACAAATATATTATACAAAAAAAACCATTTATTTCACTATAAGTTATGGTAAAAATACATTAAAATATATGTATTAAGAGCAATGCATTTATTGGTATTAAATTTATATTTGATTCCTTTATTTATGATATGCCTTACGGTATCATATAATGTATTAGTATTTCAATTGTAATCTTGAATTTCAGACACGATTTTATTGACAAGAAATAAATTCAAGTGACAAGAATTGAATGAATGAAAAGCTATTCTCAAACATCTTTACGTAAAACATGTGAGGAGTAAAGGCTTTGAATATATTGGATCTCATGATATGTTTTGCACAACTTTTGAGTATTAAATACAATTTCAATAGGTATTTGCATTTAATCTGTGAATGCGATTATAATTCAATTCATAAATATCTCTCAAAAAATGCAAACATTTTTACATTTCTTTTCAAAATTCAATTGAATATAATTTTTTTATTTGACATATACAAGAATAAAAATAGACATTTATTTCATGTACACAAAAAATTATTAAACTTACGAACAGGATTTGCTATATTATTGCAATTTATTGTTATTTGAGTCATTAAAAATAAGTCTTAATTAAGTTTCCTCTCTAACACTAATATAAAAGTCAAACGAATATAATATAATATAAAAGATAAACACAAAGACACTTTCATTGAGTTATGTGTGTTTGGGTACAACGAAAAGGCAACAAAATAAAAGCTAATCGAGACTTACATTATCCGAGTTTTGCCGATGAATCCTATTTGATCCGCAATTACTGCCATTAATGTTGCGTTTGTGTCGAGGATTGTATTGACTGTCAGATCCGACAAATTTTCCGAATTCAACTGTCGGTCAAAATATAAGAGAATATATTAAATGAAAAGTACAACAAACTATTGATTGCAAATTCTTTAGCGTAACGAGAAAAATATTTGCTAAATGAAAGCATACCTGTGACCGGCAATACAGTAACGGTTCCACACTTTTTGCTCTTAAACTTAACTTGCTCAGAGACCGATACAGATAGCATTGTCTGCAAGTTTTTCTGCTCCTATACTGAATATATTCTGTGACTAGAATTGAATTCTATACGAATTGTAAGCAAATCTAAAGCACACTCTGTTTCCGAGACCGACACTAAACTCTGTTATGATTCTTATATTCTGTTTGGTCTGAATTCACAGCAAATATATTCGCTTTGACTTCGATTCCTATCCTAACGCCGACTCTGTGGCCAACGTTTGTTTGGCGCAGACTTTCAACCAATTTATGAGACATACATTCATTTGAATCAATGCTTTCAATCCAATAGTAGCTGTATATAGAGTTTGCCATAAAATCAATAAAAGGAATATAAAGTTAACAAAATCGAGTAAATGGGAAAAGTTTACATCATTTGATGTTATAATTGTTGTCTTATTGTGTGTTTGCTTTAAAAATTGTTATAAAACATTAATTCAATAAATGAATTGGTATTTCACTGCTCTTTAAAATTGACTTTAAAAATGAACTTTTGTTAAAAATTAATTTACTGTATCTCGATAATAACTAAACTAAAAATGTAATTGAAATTTTTAGATACAAAATAAAGTAACAAAATTTTCCACGAATTATCACAAAATTAGTGACACTCGGTCTAATACACACAGATTCACAAAAAAAAGTATATAAAACAGGATATAATAACAGATTTTATTGATTTTTGACTGTAAGTACCGGTAAACAGCATTCCTTATCTAACATTACAGAGTTATAGGATAAAGATTAGGCGGCATTAGTGGTGGTGTTAGTGAAGTAATTGTTGATTACTAATCAGAAGTAGAGTGGGGCCAAATAGACGCCTCCCTGACCCCAACCGCAATGACTGACCCAATACTCGTGGCCATCAAACACAACCTCTGCGGCGTGTGAACTGATTTCACCGATTTGTTGACTCATTGCAAAACTGGTGGGACTTTCGCTCCGAAAAACCGCTGTTTTGCGGTAATCATTGCGCGGACCAGTAAACAGATACCACGAGTTGTCCAAATTGACCACAAATGGCGACTCAGTAGGTCCACCCCACGTCCCATTTGTCGGGTCTGTGAACGCGATGTTTCTTTGTCCCCATTGGATCAGATCAGGACTGGTTCGGTAGGCGATCACATGA